AATTGACATCAATCAATTGTCAATTTTGAAACAAGCACAAAACGAAGCTAAAGTTATTTTTAAAATGGAACAAAAAACAGGCAAAGAAAAAAGTTGTCAACGACTAGAAAATACCCTGCACCAAGAAGAATAACAGAGACAATTTCATATAGTCTTTGAGTGAACCCAGCGTCGAGCTAGCTTCTATATATGTACATATATACACACAGTAACAGACACACATACACATACAAACGTCGCTTGATGCAACGGTTAAGTCCCGCTCTTCGATAATTTTCGGTCTTTAGAGTCCGATCTGTTTCGGATTTGCAGGCCTGAAATATGGTATAGAAATGTGTGTAGTTATCTTCATTAACTTCGGTCTTTAGAGTCCGATCATTCTATAACTTTCAGGCCAGAAATATGGAATAGAAATCTGTGTGGATACCAAAGCACAAAGCGGTAGCTAATGAGTATCTTCTTCGATTTTGAAGAGAATATCGAAGAGATCCGAAAGATGAAATATTTTTGATATGTCTATACTATACGAGAGAGTCTATGTGTCAAGTCTGATGTATTTAGCTCTTATAATTTTCGAGTTATTTTCATAAACAACATCGCTGCGATTCGATTGTTATCGTTATTTAGAAAAAGGGCGGAAATGTTGAGAAACTATTATGAATTCCTTATGCGTATTTGAATTGAACGAGGTTCTATGATGTTCCAGGAATATGTCTAGAGGAATGTGTAGTAAGAACTCTTAAAATGTACATAGATTTGTCAAATTATTTGTTTTGGCATATTTGAGAAAACAATATTCCTTCTATGAATCTTTGAGTAAAATAGAATATAATATAATATAATTCTTCAAATAGAATTGAAGTAAGTAAAAACTAATTATACATATAAATTGATTGTTGATTGCAATAAAAAAAGGAAGAAGCCTGAAGAACCTTCGGAAAAGTTTATTTTTCAACTAATAAACCTGCTGAAACTGACAAAATCTCAGCTAAATAACAAGAAAAAATCAAAGTATAGCAAGGATTCTTTCAAGAGTTCTCACAATATTCCTGTAAATAGTTGAGAAATTCGCAAGCAGACAAACTACTTAAAGTACTATTATGAGTAGATTTCAAGATTGTGGTTGAGTTTCGAGTACTTTATGCATATTAGGGTATATGGAACTGTAAGCTATCCAACTTATTCGCATTACAATCAATTCTCAACATTATTCGCATCGTTTGTTTCACATCTTTCATTCGTTTTGGTTTTGGCTTTTTGTTTTACTTCTTCTTTTGTTTTTTGTGGGTTCTCTTGGCTAAACGACCTTTGGAAATTACAAAGTGAAACCCGTTTTTCTCTGCAGCCTTAACCAAGTTTTTAGCCCGCCATTTGCGAACGACTCCCGCCGCCTGCTCTCCCCCTCTTACCCACCAAGCCGAACTCCCCTTTATACGACTCGTCATGACATTTTCCAGTCATCGACTTCTTTTGCGGTCGTCCGTTGTGTGCGGCCATTTAGCTCTCTAATTGCTGTCATTCAGGCGAGAGAGAGAGAGAGAGAGAGAGAGAGAGAGAGAGAGCGAGAGAGAGAGCGAGAGGGAGGGAGAGCGAGCGAGACAAAGAGGGAGAGCAAGGAAGCGAGAGGGAGAGCGATGCACAGAGTGCGGCAGAAGCGACCTCTGTAGCTGTTCTTTTTGGCATACCCTGTAGCACAAACGATATAAAGGAGCATATTGGCTTTGTGCCCACGTTTGTAACAGGCAATGGAAGGCAGATTTTAACTGGGAGAGTTATCAAGGTTAAAGCTCTTCGTATCATATAATACTATATATAGTTAACCTTTAGATTGACAGGGTATTTGCCAGTCGGTGCATTTGACACACAGTGACGACCTTTTGTTTTTTGTTTTTGTTTTTAGTTACCCTTACTTGTCTCTCGTTGCGGCAGGTCAACGGTGTCAAATTACGTATAATTATTTTTGACTTAGGCAGCGTGCGTGTTGTATTCAAATCGTTCGCCCCCACCTCTCCACCACTCTACCCACCTCTCCACCACTCTACCCACCTCTCCACTCTTGCTCTTACTGTCTCTATCTCGCTGTTGTTCCGCTAACTACCCGCTCTCTTACCCTTACCACACCACACCTTCTATAACTGGCATTGCTTTTAAATTTACTTTGTTTACTTCAATCACTTGTTCTTCTGCCACTTCTTCTCCCCTCCCCCTCCCTCTCTCTCTCTCTCTCTCTCTCTCACTCTCTCACTCTCCTCTGGCACGCTGCCCACTCGCCCGCTATCTTCAGTTCACTTCACAACACTTTACAACACTGCGCTTAGTCATCGTCAATCGTCGTCTTTTTGTTTTTGTTTTTGTCTTTGTCTTTTAAGTGCTTCCCACTTCGCCGTTTCGACTAACCGCAAAACTAGCAACAACAACAACAACAACAACAACTTGTATTACTGTAACAACAACAACAACAACAACGGCAATAATAATAATATAAAAAAACAACATTTTGCAAGTCTTGTTTCGCTTTCCGGGTCGCATTTGTGCCCTCTCTCGCCCTCTCCCCGTCTCCCCCCTCTCGCTCTATCGCTCTCTCGCTCTCTCGCCTTCTCGTTCGTCTTTTAGCTTTTGCTATCTATTTGCTGTGACTAATATACATAACTCCCCTCCCTCGCTTCCAACAAACTTCTCTTCTAACACACAATTTCCTGAATTCCCCAGACTCAACTTTTTGCATAGTTTTTATTATTGTTTTGGTTTTTAGCAACTTTTTATAGCCAAAAAAGCATATTATATTATATAATGTATTTATTATAATTTATAGACATATACCAAGTGCATAATAATTTGTATATAAATCATTTCATGAAGGTCGGCGAATTCTTGACACGATATTTTTATCGAATTCTACGTGAGTTTCCGAGTGTTTCGGTTTTTCGGTCATTAATTGCGCCCCGCTCGCAGAGGTTGCATAAATATGTATATACATACATATGTATATAATGGAATTTCTGAAGGCTGACTGCGTGCATTGCTCTATTATGAAAGTTTTGGAGGGTACGTAGTACACATAGTATATGTATAACCGTGCGACTATTAATTATATATGCAATACATGGCGCATATTTCGGATATATTCGAACGTATTCGGGCGATTCCGGGGCCGCGTTTTAATACGAGTAAAAAAAGGGTTAGGGTAAATGTGGGAACTTTTTATATACATATGCTTCCTGATCGAAAATTTTCGACGTTATATATCTATAAAAAGTATCGCAACAAACTACTAACAGTTATTTTATAGTTACAAATACATATGTATGTTATCGATATTGCTGCACGTAGCGTAGTTATCGATTGAAAGTATTTATCGGTATGCCTAGATTGGAAGCAACAATCGATATCTTAATCAAGATAATCAGACTATCAAGTTGCGCTCGATTCCTCTCAATTTCTCGCTCTCTCTTTCTCGTTTAATCACTTGTCTCTCTCTCTCCTCTTTCGTTCTATATCTATATATATATATATCTCTCTCTCTATATATATATCTCTCTCTTTATATCTTTCGCTCTCTCTATATATATTATATCGCTCTCTATATATATCTATATATATCTATATATATCTATATATATCTCTCTCTATATATCTCTCTCTCTATATATATATCTCTCTCTTTCTTTTTCTTTTTCTCTTTCTCTTTTTCTTTTTCTTTCTCTTTCTCTTTCTCTCTCTCTCTCTCTCTTTCTCTCTCTCTTTCTCTCTCTCTTTCTCTCTCTCTTTCTCTCTCTCTCTTCTCTCTCTCTTTCTCTCTCTCTTTCTCTCTCTATCTTTCTCTCTCTCTTTCTCTCTCTCTTTCTCTCTCTCTTTCTCTCTCTCTTTCTCTCTCTCTTTCTCTCTCTCTTTCTCTCTCTCTTTCTCTCTCTCTTTCTCTCTCTCTCTTTGTCTCTCTCTCCATCATTCTCTCTCGTTTTCTCTCTCTCTTTATCTCTCTTTTTCTCTCTATCTCTTTTTCTCTCTCTCTCTCTCTCCATCTCTCTCTCTCTCTTTTTCTCTTTCTCTCTCTCTCTCTCTCCATCTCTCTCTCTCTCTTTTTCTCTCTCTCTCTCTCTTTATCTCTCTCTCCATCACTCTCTCTCTTTTTCTCTCCTACTGCCCTCTCGCATTTTCATTATGATCCATTAACGTTTACTGTACGTTCTACGTTTACGCTAATCTTCCAATCCCCCCTACAATCCCTGACCCTCCTTGGACTGCGTCCCGCCCCTCCAAAAGCACACACAAAATTGTTCAGTTTTCTTATCAGCATTCGTATTCATTCCCTTTCCCCCGTCCCCAGTTGACAGATTATCGCGAGCGTATTGCAACTATTTGGGTTGCTGCTGATCCGCGCCCGGCACCTCTTATCGCCTATAGCTCAAGTGCGAAACGGGGGGAGGGGGGGCGGCGGCATTGGGGGCTGGACTAAGCAGGTTGGGGCTGATTGGGGCTGGTTGGGGCTGAGCGCTTGTCAATGGCCGCGAATGGCGCAAATGCAAACAGGAAATGAGCTAGCTGCGGAAATGTGTGTGCGTGTGCACAGATGGAAGTCCATACATATACATATATATGCATGTAAATATGGGCTATATAATCGGTCGGTGTTTCGATTCAAAGTTCGAACCAGCACCCGGCCTTTAGATGCAATACAAGCCTGCCTTCGTAAGCCTGCAATACAATGCCCTGCAATACAACACCCTACAGTCCAATACCCTACAATCAATCAAAGTTTTTGGGTCGCAGTTGTGCATCAGTCAATCAATCAATCAGTCAATCAATCGGTCAATCAGTCAAAAACACATCCGAATATATTATAGTTAAATAAATTCCTAGTTCAAAATAACTAATTTAAGTTTTAACTGGAAGACAACATTGCTGACATGTCAGGCAGTGTGTCCTGCCTGACAGCTGGCAAGACAGTTCAGCAAGTGCATACTGCCTGGAGATAGGAGATTAAGTATATGAAATGCACTCACCTATGGATTTGCGTTCCACTCGCGATGCGCTGCTGATACGACATATTAGCAACTTGTTGTTGTTGTTGTTGTTGTTGCTGCTGTTGCTTTTGTTGCTGTTGCGTTGCTTTGTTTTGTTGCTGATTAGACGCTGTCTGAGAATGTTGCTGCTGCTGCTGATGATGTAAATGATGGGACGTTGGTCCATTATCATGCACTTGATGCGACGCAGCAGCGTTGCCTGCCGCGGCGCTGTGTTGCTGCTGCTGATTGCTGGCAGCACGTTGCTGTTGTTGTTGCTGGTGTTGCTGGTGTTGTTGTTGCTGTTGTTGCTGTTGTTGTTGTTGTTGTTGCTGCTGCTGCTGCTGCTGATGATGATGATGGTGATGAAGCTGTTGCTGATGTTGCTGCTGCAGTTGCTGCTGATGATGTTGCTGTTGTTGTTGCTGATGTTGCTGCTGCTGATGCTGCTGATGTTGCTGATGTTGCTGTTGTCCACCGTTTGTGGCGTTGTTTGTGGGCGGCGGAGCACCGACCTGCACTGAAGAGGAGCGTATAGCTGCTTCCATTTCATGCCGAACTCTTTTGGCTTAAACACTTGTTGTTGCGCCCAGAATTTGAAGAAGAAGTTGTTCCTGTTGCTGCTGCAGCTGCTTCAGCTGTTGTTGTAAATGTAATGTTGTTGTTGTTATTGTTGCTGTTGTTGCTGTTGTTGTTGTTATTATCACTGAGCTGCTCGCATGCAACAACATTGCACTGCAACATATTCACCAACACTTGTTACTTGTTTGTTTACTACTACTGTTGTTGTTGTTGTTGTTAACACTTCAGTTGATGCTGTTGCTGTTGCTGCTGTTGTTGTTGCTGTCAACAAAATAACAGCAACAACAATAAGCTCTAGCGCTTAAGAGACGCCATGCAGCAGCTGCTGCACAAGCATTTCTCTAGTTGTATTTGTTGTTGTTGCACGTTTCTTTGTTTTGTTGTTTTATATATTATTTACTTGCTGTTGTTGTTGTTGTTGTTGCTGCAGTTCTTGCAGTTGTTGCAGTTGTTGCACTTGTTGTTGCAGTTGTTGCACTTGTTGTTGCTGCTGTTGTATTACTTTATTAAACATTTGCCTATTTACACACACACACTGTGACTGCTGCTAAAAGAAGAAGAAAAAAGGTAAAAGGAAATTGAAATATTTCGGCACACACACACACACAGAAGCGCGCGCGCGTGCAATGCGGCAATGCGGCAACGTCGCACGCACGCACGCACGCACGCACGCCTTGTTGCCAAATTTCAGCTCATGTTGTTGTTGTCGTTGTTGTTGTTGCACACACACCAAAAAAAAAAAAAACAAGGCGCAAACAAAAAAAAGCTTAGCTGAAAAACATTTGGAAACAATTTTGCTTCCAATTTTTTTTTTTATTTTGCGCGCAGCCTAACAAAAAAAAAAAAACAAAAACAAAGCACAAAATTCGAGAGCAAACTTTTTTCTTTTTATTTTTGTTGACACATATTTTGTTGCAATGCCTGCGCGGGCGGCGGTGGGCGTGGCAAGCTCACATATATATATGCATATATGTATATAGTCACTACATGTGTGTGTGTCTTCGCGCGAGTGTGTGTGTGTGTGTGTGTGTGTGTGTGTGTAACAAATTAAGCGCCTAAAACGAAAGGCCGAAACGCGCCGCACGCACGAAATGTGAATTGTTGTTGTTGTTGTTGTTTTCTATGTGAGCTGGTTAAAAAATTTTCCATTAATTAACAACTTTGTGCACAATTTAATTTTCCATTTGATTTATTTTGTTATAATATTTATTTATTCTCTTTTGTTACGTTTGCTGCGTCTGGCTTTATCTTCGGATTTGCCTTATCAGCGCTTTATCACAGAAAAACTTAAAAAAAAAAAGTGATATATATATATGTATATATACACACATATATATATATATACATTTATATTTGCACACAAAACAAAAAGTGTTTGCTTTTTTTTACATTTTATTTGCATTTTATTTGCATTTTATTTCATGATTTTCGCGTTTCCGACCTGCAACGAGAGGGGAAAGAGAGAGAGAGAGAAGAAAGCGTTTTGTTTGATTAGTTGCCAATTATCGATAAGCTATATATATAAATACATACATACATATGAAGAAAAGATAAAAATAATCGATAATTACAGCAAAATGTAATTTAAAATATATGCTACATAGATAACTAGATTCTGGTGTGGATATATGCAGATATACACAGATATTTAGGCAGATTCAGGTCTGAAGTGCATTGGCATCTGGCTCGATAGTTCAGTGTTGAGTAACTCTATCAATAGGTCAGTGTTGCACAACATTTTGTTTGTTTTTGTGTTTGAAAAAGTTACCATATATTGAAAATCATTTATTATCAAACATTGTAATGAGATTTTAGAATATAATTTAACCCTTACTACAGCTCATATTCTTAAAAGACATTGAAGGGCATATTTTTTTATTTTTATATATATAAAGATCATATTTTGTTCTAGAATTTCGTAATTTCGTTAATAATAGACTTTAAAGAGCTCACTTATTCTATAATTTCGTAATACGTTCTTTAATAAGTTTGTAGAGGGTCTTATAGTTTTGTCTTGAAATCAGTTTCCACAACCACAAAGTCCATACACATATTCTTAACCAATATCTATAGTCGGAAAGATATATGTAGATGCGTCCGTCTGTCAGTTTCTGCAAATAATCTCTCAGTCTCAGTGCTAAGTGTCGTAACTTCACAAGGGTTCGATATCGGATCACTATATCATATATCTATCGTAGGAGTATATAGTCCAAAGTAAAGTATGACGAACTTTTTTGTTTCATACAGGGAAATATCCGCATCGGACTACTATGACATATAGCTTTATAGAAAGAATCGCTAAAAATATTGTTTTTTTTTTATGGAAAACAATTCAGCTTTTTCAAAATATTCTCACCGAGCTCTGTAATTACGAGCTTTACATTTAAACTAGGGCATTGAATCTTCGGCATTCTTTCGAGTTTTTAGAAATCAATAGACTTGGTATTTGTAGACACATTTGGTAAGGTCGCATAAGGTTAAAAATCTTTTAAAAATTCATAATTTCTCGCAATAAATTAAATCCATTTTTCTTCTTCTTCTTTTTTTTTGTATACAAAAATGTTGCATTTAACAACTTGTTTCACAAGTTCTCAAACATTTCATTCATATTTATATCTCTGACAGGCACTCGTATATATTTATGTATGTGTATTTATATACATACATATGTATGTATATCCACATATGTGTTGTGCATGACTAAAACACAAATCAGCCGTTGCTATCACTCGTTAGTCTGATAAGCGCGCTTATCAACTGAATAACTTAAGAATTTAAGAGTTCCTTATCAGCACAACAAAAACAACAAAGCAAAAAAAAAAATACCGTAACTCTTAAATTGAAGTCCCAAATTAGCCGAATAACAATTTCACTCTCTCTCTCTCGCTCCCTCTCTCTTTCTCTCTCTCACTCACTCGCAGGCTCATTTATCAAGCATTTGAGGTATTCCCAGTTGCCCGCAGCAGCTTTACAGCGATATTTACGCGTGTTGCCTACGTGAAAAACAGAAAACAGAAAACAGAAATCAGAAGCAGCAGCAAGAAGTAGAGCCGCAGTCGCAGCAGCAACAACAGCGGCGGCAGCGGCAACGGCAACGGCAGCAGCAGCAAAATATATAACAGAAAGCAGCAGCAGCAGCAGCAGAAGCAGAAGCCGAAGTAGAAACGGCAGAAAAAGCTCTCGGCCGGTGTCGACAAACTGGAAACAGAAAACTGAAACTTGGCAACAGCGCGCGGTCACATGTTTTGCTGCCGCTGCTGCCGCTGCTGCTGTTGTTGTTGTTGTTGTTGCTGGTCAGCAACATTTTTGTTGTTGTAATGTTTAATGAAAGCAATTAAACTGCACAGCCACAAATAAATAAAAACAATAACAATTAACAGCTGGCAAGAGGCAACAACAATTCGCATTGCATACACACATACACACACACACACACACACACAGCTGCGCGTAACTGGCAACTTTTAGTAAATTAAATTCACACTATGAAAATTGCACAGAAATTGAATTGAATTTAAGCAAACTGCAAAAACTCTCAAACCCACACACAAACATACACACTCACATATAGACGAAAATTAAGCACAAATTCCACAGGCAAGCAAAAAAAAATCAGCCAAGCGTCGCAAAGACCAAAAGCCAGGCAAAGGCAGCGACGTCGGCAGCAATCAAAATATAGTCAAAGGCAACAACAAGCGATATACAACGTTGCCGCACTTCACACAAAGCAAAAGACAGAAAAAATAAAAAAACTTAAGCACGCGTAAGATTAAAGCAGCGACGGCGGCAGCGACGCAACCGTCGCGCCAGCCAAATGCGCTGTTGACAATTTTCAGCAGCAGCAGCCCCAGCGCAAACAAATTAATAAAAATAACAACACACGCACACCACCAACAACAGCAACATCAACGGCAACGGCAACAACAACAACAACAACAAAAACAACTCAACGGCAGACGACGACAATATGAAAAAGAGGCTTAAAACTATACGTAAAAAGAAACAAGCAAAGCAGCGCAGCCAGCATCGATGCCAACAGCGTTATAATAATAATAATAGCATAAAAAGAAATTATAAAAAAAAAACCAACTCGAAGCAAAAGCAAAACAACGAACGAAGAAAAAATGATGCCGCTGCTGCCATGGCACATCTGCCCAAAGCGTGAGAGCGAGATAGCGAGCGCTGTGCGCAAAGCAAACGATTTAGAGTAGAAGAGAGACACACACAGAAAGAGAGAGAGCAAACGAGCAACCGACCGACTGTCAGTCAGTCGCTCGGTCGGTCGTAATCGTCACATAAGGGGAGGAAGCGGGTGAGCTGTGGGCCACTGTTGAGGTTGAGCAAAAACAGAGAGCAACAACGCGGGAACTTGAACACACATACACACACATAACATATATATATATATGTATGTATATAATTTATATACAAGGCATACACATATATAATATATACACATATATTATATATATATATACCATACAAATGCAAAGAAAACAGCGGGCAGGCAGCGATGTTGCTGCGCAGCAACGTTGTACGATGTTGTTCGTGTATTGGTTATGCGGCGCGCGGGTGACGCAACAGCAAGTGCAAGGCGGCGGGCAGGCAGCGCAGTTGGCAACTGAATACGAACGCACACTCATGCACTAGCAAGCCACACATACACACATACACACACAAATACGAGCGCAAAAGGCAAGCAAAACTCGCAACGTCATAACGAGTCGAGCGACAAAACGAACGAACGAGCGAACGAACAAACGAACGGCCGACCGTCAGACAGCCAGCCAGCCAGGCAGACCGACCGAGCGTGCGACCGACTGACAGACAGACAAACAGACCGAGCGACAATCAGTCGGTGAGTCGTGCATAGTGACGTGCACAAAAATCCCCCGAGCAGCGCAGCAAGCGCTGTATTTGTATGCTTGCCTGTGCGGCTGCCGCTGTACATGTATGTGTGTATATATATATATATACATGCATACATATATGTATATGAAAAATGATAGGAGACGTAGAAGCAAACGAGTCTAACGAGTAAAACGTAGCAATAAACACACGGTTGATGGCAGCGGGACGGCAGGGGATGTGCGGGTGCGCAAGGTGAAACGTAAAAAAATACCGTGTATAAGAAGAAGCAAACAAACACACGAACACACGCACACACTTACAAGGAGACCGTATAATAATAATAATAATAATTGTGGAGCATTGGCGCGCTGGCATAAAGTCCACACAACACACACACACACACACATGCACACCTTTCGCCAGTGTGCTTTGTGTGGGCGTCAGCGCAGGCGACGGCAGCAGCAGCAGCAGCAGCGGCAGCCACAAATATGTACAGTAAAATATTCACAACGCCAAAAACGAAAAGGCAAATAAAACGAAATGAAATGAAAAAAAGTAAACGAAACAAATGGAAAAAGAAGAAAAAAAAAAGCTAAACGAAACGAAACGAAAAAAAAAAATCACGAGTAGGCCGAAAGCAATTTATTTGAGATAGCGCCCCTGCTGCCAGTGTCGATGTTCTGCTCGCTGCCCGCT